CTGCTCTGCAACTGCCCGGATTTCCTCCCCAGCACAGCGTGGCAGGGGAAGGTGAATTTACTTGAAACCCCACCAGGAGTACAAGTGGGAGTCTGGGTGGGCAGGAAGGGGATGGGGCAGGGGGCTGCGCATGGGGCAAAACCCTCCCTCCCCCTCGCACGTGCCCAGGGGACCCCAGACCAGCAGCTGACCTGGCCTTGGGGGACGGGAAACCCCTAACCCAAAGAACGGGCCTTTGGGGGCATCTCAGTGCCCCTGAATGGGTGCAGCAAGAGCCAGCTCCAGGGACCTGGGTGCACGGCCAGTGCCAGACCCAATGGCCCAAACCTGGGAACCCACAGGCTCAGGTCCTCAGGACCAGCACCCTCTGTCCCTCCAGCCAGCACCGTGGAGTAGGACAGAGATGGCTTTTTAGGAGTAAATTCCACTAGCACCATGTGCAGAGAGGCCAGATCCTGCTCTTGCTGACTGAGGGACCTGACACGGGGACAGGATTGGACCTTCAGATGCTGGACATTGGCCGTCGGGTGTTGCCACATCCAGACAATCTCCCTTCTCCAGTCCAAGGCCACGCAGGGAGGTGCCCAAAGCCCCGGGAATTCAGGGCTACTGCTGGGCCAGCCCTCTCCTGCACAGGGAAAGAAGCTGCTTTCTTCAGGTACGGCTGATATTTATCCACAAAACACCTTTATTTGGAACAAAACCATAAATAAATAAGCGTGCACAGAAACCAAGTGGATTAAAAAAAAAAATAACACAAGGCTATTTCAATTTAATACATGGTTAATGCTGGGGTGCTTTGTCACCCAGCTCCTCCCCCCCACCCCTATCTGGGGGCTGATCTCGACCAAGGCCATCCAGAGCCCTGTTTGCTCTGGGGCCGCCAGTGCGAGTTGTGGGGTTGCAGCAAAACCTGATTGCAAGAGGCTGGCGGGACGTCTTGTCCCCCCCAGGACCCTGCCGAGACAGGGACCAGCCCCAAGCGAAGGCAACGCAGGCAGGGGTGCTGGGGGGCAGGGGAAAGCACGAGGATGTCTGGAGGGGGACAGAGGAAAGGTGCAAGCTCAGCTCTCCCTGAGCCACGTGCCTGCACCAGCGTGGCGGTGAGGGACAGAAGTGACCCCGCGTCCCCTCCTGTCCCTTGGCTGTGTCAGTAGGGGTAGGGCGAGATGGAGATGAGGAGGAGGAAGATGCTGGGTGCCCGTTGCCCGCCCAAGGTCGCCATTAGGGGGGGGGTGCCAGGGTCCCTCAGCGGGCGCAGGGTGAAGACAATGCCACGGCCACTTTCGGTGCGGAGGGCAAAGGGGCTGCCAGGCTCCTGCTCCAGCAGCGTGAAGATGGGGCGATGGCGGAGGGCAGTGCCCGGGGTGAGGTGCACCACGTCCCGGCCAGCGGTGATGCCGAGGGGCAGAGGGAGCAGCCGGGACCGCAG